AAGAAATTCGTAAACTTTCAAAGAAATTGTGTTAGAAATAGATCTCTGGAGCTGAGCAGAATATGAGATCTGATTTTTCAGTTTGAAGAAAGGAATGTTTTATATGACAAAGTTAAAGAGCTTGAAGAGATGATGTCTAAACACCAAATACTTAAAGAGAATTAAGAAAAAGTTGACATCTTTGAATAGCTTAGTCCCGTTACTACTGTTCTTTCTCCTTACATTGATTCAACTGATTTTGATTGTGTATTTTCTTATAAAATTGCTTCAAGTTCAATTCATAAAATTGATCTTTTCTCTTCAAGCAATGTCTGTAAGCATAACTATTCTTCAGGTGTTAAATCACACAGTTATTCTAACAGATATTCCAAATCATACAACTTTTCAAGATATCAGACTCATAATTCTAATATGTTTCACAATGATTCTCTTGTTGGTTCAGATAATCATTCTAAAAAGGTGATGATAGTATAGAGGAAGAAATCAACTATAGATGACTGTGGTGGAAACAAGTCACATCAATTTTTTAGTAGTTGATACAGAGTCATTTGTTTCTAGGACTGATTTGTCTTATTTTGTCAAATCTAACAATAAGCTAATCAGTTTGAGAAAAGAGAAGTTGTGTTGTGCAATATGTGGAACAAATGATTTTGTAAATCAAAGGTATGTGAATAAATGGTGTGGTACTTACAATATACCTAATTCCCTGATTTCTAGCTTCAAAGCTAAGACTAACCTCCGAGGACCCAATAAAGCTTGGGTACCAAAATCTTTCTGATGTTTTGTAGGAATGGCATGTGTGTTCTTATTTAGAATATTCATACCACATGACTGGTCAATCAAAAGGTTATACTACTTTTGAGGGGGAGTACCATATATTCTGTAAGATTTTCAAAGAACCATGGTAATTCAATCTCAGAAACTTACTTGTGTTTGTTTCTTTTTTGATCTCAAACCAATCATTGAATTTCCATCTGCTAAATTTTCTTGAATTTGTTATTTCCATGTCTCATATATTCATTAAAATTTTTGGTGGAAATACACTCGTTTGGAATACTATTTTGGTTTCAAAATACGTCATTTCATTTCAATGATTTAATTCCTATATGAAATATTAATTATGACTGTTCTTCACAATTAACCATTATAATTAATGAACATTTGTTTGTAAACACCGTGCTTACTAAGTCATTCTGTTTAGCATTTGAATTTGTTCTTTGACAATCCTAAACAAATACCTTTATTGTTCAGTTTTGAACACCTCAGTTCAGGACTGCTCTACGTATTAGCTTTTAAACACTCCAATTTAGAACTTGTGCTACATTTGTTTGATTTCTAAACATATCAGGTTGAGACTCATACTTCAAATATTGATTTCTGAATTTTTTTTGAAGTATAATATCCTTGAATTTTTAGTATGTATTTCATAAAATCAATGTGTGAGATTAAGTGTGCTTCAATAAGCTACCAGAACCTATAGTTTTACCCAAGAAGTAACCCTTGAGTGATTGAGAGGTGAGGGGTCTTAAATAAAAGAGTGGGGGAGATAATTCATATGGTTGAGAAGTCTCATTATGCTGAGCAGAAAAATGTAAATGAGAGTTTGGTTAGAAGTGGGGATTTTTATTAAAAATAGAGGGTGAAAGAACAGAATTAAAAGAACAGAAAACTTTGCCCTAACCACTTCAAGCTAGGCAACCACATTATTGTTGGTTCATAAATCTTTCATGGCCATCATTGAAACACAGTGAGCCCATGTCACCTCTTGATTTAACCCCACCAACTACTCATTTCTTTTTTAACACAGAAATGTTTCAATTTTTTATGGGGAAGCAACATATAATCTATCTAGTTTTCACTTGGAAAACTTGGATATTAAAAAAGAAAGAAGTTTGCTCCACCTTCACACTTCAATCATGCACATTGCTTTAATGATAATATTTTCTTTTACACATTCACATTCATGAATCTTAGTGATTCACATTACATATCTTTGTGATATTTTCATAACAGCTTGAGAAGTTAGTTCTATAACTTTACTTCAACGATAACTGGAAGACCTATCAGAGACAAATCAATGCCAACTTTTAACATAGGCCGCACAATTTTTTAATTGTTATGATAAATAGTTGCTAAATGTGCTTCTATGTTAGACGAATACCCAATTTTTTAGGGGGAGAAAATTGTTTTAATAGAGATATCTTTTTAAATGGGAGAAATCAAATTTGTCTGACAGTGTTTGAGAATATCTAAAGTTGATTTGTTGAAGTTTTTTATTATTCGTGATGTTCAGGATTCTCCTAATCATCATGAGGGGGAGAAATAATATCAAAGACATATCAATGACAAGAAGAGAAGAGGAAGACATGATGCATAGACATGAAAAGATTATACAGATGTTACAGGAAAGAAATTATGTTCAAAGATGTTTGTGACTAGTGCTGATGTTCAAAAGTGAAGCTTAACTGTTAAATTGTTGAATTAGTTTGTTGATGAGATGAATTGTATCTAAATCTTTTGAATCAATGGTTGAAAAGTCATTGGATTTAAATATTATAGATATGATGAAGAGATTGGTGTTGAATTGTTGAGATTCATTGTTGACTTATCTGTGAAAGGAAGATTGAATTAAAGTTGTTTGAAGAAAGTTGTTGACAAAATTGGATTCTTTCATTATAAAATGATAATGAGCTTAGTACATGTAGTGTTAAAGCTTAAAGCCTAAATGTCTAAAGCTTATTTTGTTGTCTGAAAATGATTTACTAAAGATTAGTTGACTGGTGAAGATTGAAAACTGTTCTAAAGCATCTAAAGATTTTGAAGATTGTTTCAAAGTAAAGATTTTGATTTGAAAAATATATTTGTTAAAAGGGGGAGATTGTTATTTTTCAAATTCGTCTTTTAAACAGTGACAAAGTCTGATTGACTTCATTGGGGATATTATTTATGTCAAAGATCTTTTGAAGTGAAAACAAAGGGATTTGTTTTGAAGAATGTGATCTCGAATACAAAGGGGGAGATTGTTAGGTCAAATATTATTGTATACGAGATCACCGAGCTTAAAGACTAAAGAGGTCAAAGTTTAAAGTCAACATTGTGCTTAATTGTAGTTTGACTTTGTAATTAGTCAATCATATAAATAGTTTTTGTTAGTTGTTAAAAAGAATTCGTATTGTAAGATTCGAGAGAAAAAGAGAGAGAAAGAGAGAGAGAGATTATAGAGAGAGAAATGTGTATTGAGAGAATTTATCAATATACATAATGATTTGATCTCTAAATCGGTGTTCTTATTGTTTAATTCATTGTTATCAGACTGAAACTGGGTTTAACACTATTTTGTTATAATGAGGTTCAACCTTGTATGTATATGCATTTATTTATTAAGTTCTTGCTGATTGCTACTCATACAGACAAGGCCCAACTTTGAATACATAGAAAGTCTCAAGTAGGGCATTAAGAGCATTTCCAACAGGTTTTCTAACTTTTTTTTTTAAAATGGATAATTAAAAGCCAAAATCTTCAAAACTAGTTACATATATCTCTAACATATTTTCCATTTTAGAGAATCCAACATTAACTATAGTATTAATTAAAATATTCTATTCATCTATTAAAATATTGTTTATCTCTCTAAATATTTTAAAGTTTTCTATTGGTGTAAGTTTAAAAAGTTATCAACGTAAAGTTAAAAATATTTAGGGGTTGTGTGTTTACATCTTAATAGTTTCATTAAGAGACAGTCTCTGAATCATTAAGAGGTGAATCTTGTTTGGCAAAAAAAAGTCTGTCTCTTAATGGTTCTAAAACCCTCTGAATGATTTTGTATCATGGGTCTCCCTTAACTATTCAGCGCTTTAATTTCATCGAAAACAATTACCAAACAATTATATTTCATTTTGCATTATATCATGATAGCTTCTTAATCATTCAGCAACTACCACTTAATCATTTTGCACCAAATCATTCAGCAACTACCAAACAGCCCCTAAAACTTACACCACGTAATTTCACATGTAACAACATTGCTAGTAAATTGCAATCACTTTGTGTTAATTAAGAAAATCACTCATCAAATGAAAACGAATGAACCTTAAAACCACTAAATATTTGTCAGGGTGTTAGCATGATAGAGCGGGTGCACATGCTCTTAGATCTTCCTATGAACCTCATGTGTGTACGTATTTATTTATTAAGATATTGTTGACTGTTTTACTCATACTCAAAATGTCTAATTCCGTGTGTATCTGTGTGTATGTACATATATATGTACGTGACCTTTTAAGGTGATTATTGACGTTCAGAAGCAATTCTCATTGACTAATAAAAGTCGCTTTCCATGCCATTTCTATTTTTTATTGGTCTAATAAGTCAATTGTAAAAAGTAAAGAAGTTTAAAAGAACCACGACAATATCGTCACATACACATCACTTTTTTTATCTCCTCGAACTGACGCAAATAGCATATAAATTCACATGACTTCGACGAGAGAAATGGTGTAATCCTCTTTGTCTTTCAAAATGTCATTAAGCAGCGTAATGATGTTTTTATTCTTTCTGTTGTTCCAAAAAATCATCAATTGTGAATCATTGCGTCGACATCATAAGTTTGTCGTAAGTACTTTTTTTCTTCCAAAAAGGATGCAAGTTAACATATTGCTTTTGTGTTTTGATGCCTCAGAAACAATTGGTTTCGTTGTGCGAAATGTTGTGCATAACGCACGATACATGGTCATCCTTTGACACGTTAAAAATAAGATTTCGAATCGGGCCCCTTCAATATTGACGCCCAATTTTACGTGTTTAGACCATTTTACAACAGGTTTAAATTAAGTTCAAATAATTGTTGACTATTTAGGTTTATGTATCTCTTTTATGTGCTTAACATGTATGCAGTTTTGTTATTTTATGGTGTAATCAAAATTTTAGTGTAACAGAGCCTTCAAAAAGATGGGAAAATCATTGGTACAACAATTTAAAGACGAGTTTCTTTGAACGTGTAGGTGACAGAAGCATCATATACTCGACTTTGTGAAACGAAGAATATTTTGACGGTAAACGGGCAATTTCCGGGACCAACACTATATGCTTATGAAGGAGATACGGTTTATGTGAAGGTCTATAACCGTGCAAGAGAAAATATCACCATCCACTGGTATGACCGTTCTTTTGTGTTATTTTACTAAGAAAAACGAAGTATGAGAAATTCATGAACATCATCTTTAAAAACAGTTCTCAAATTATATTTTAAGCTTTATTTTAAACGTTGTGAGACGTGGCTTGACGTTGTAGAGTGGCAAGGTTAAGATTCAAGTTTTACAAGTTAAGGTGAGGTTATGACGTTTTTCAAGATGTGTCATAAGTGACATATATATATATATATATATATATATATATATATACATACATATACATACATACATATATGGAGGAGCGATCAAATGCAGACCATCCAATTTTTACAAACTGTGCAAACCACCCTCATCCGTCGATTTCATTGTTTAATCTTATGAAATTTTTTCATGGAATTGTTTAATCTTGTGAAATTGCTTCATATAATACTTTTTTTGATGAAGTTAATTCGTATATGGTTATGAAATTGTTTCATATAATATTTAATGAAATTTTAATGAAACTGTTTCATGTATTTCTCTAAAATTAAAATAATAAAGATGATAATATCCATGATTAACACTGATCACCACAATAGGATTAATCAACCTCTTATAATTACAAAATAAAAAATTATGATTGGTTGAATGAGGTTTATACGGTTTGCACAAATAACATGGTTTGCAAAGTAAACTTTCTCTATATATATGTATGTATGTATATTTATATACTTGTATGTATTTATGTTTTGAGTAATACTGTAGAACAATTTAAATTCATATAAAGTTGTAAAACTATAAAAGAAAGAACCATTTATATCATATATATGTATAAATAGGAAAAAATATCGTGTGAGAAGGGAAGTTGATAAGAAACATAAGAAAATATATGAACCCTTGATCATTTTTAATCTCATGTTCATCCATAAAGTGCGCTTTAAAACACCTCATTAGTGTTGACATTCAATTAGGATTGATTCAAGGCGGAGATCTCTTCTTACGCTTCTCACCGTAACTTAGAGTTGACATTCAATTAAGATTGTTTCAATTGTACAAATCCATTCTTAGACTTCTCACCATAACTTGTTTTCTCACCGAAACCCAACCCAAAAAAAGCGATCAAATAATATTCCTTAATTTTTATAAAAATATATCGAAACCAAACCATTCTAATCCAAACGTATCAACAAATCCTACTTAAAAACATTATTTGTGGAGTAAGACACATTTAACGGACCGTTTACCCAAACACTTACTAGTTAAATTTAACATTATTATTTATTTTACTGGGTAAGATTTTAGTCAATTAAAAATGGCATTGTATGAAAAAATTTACCCGGTAAGCATTAATCGGGTAAGAGCCGTCTCCTACACTTACCGGGTAAGACTCTAGGTCATTGCCTTCGTCTTACCGGGTAAGATTCTTGATCCTTACCATATTTATCGGTTAAGGCTATATAACTTAACACCCAAAGGTAAAGACCTCCGTTTGTGGAAAGCCATATAAATGTACGAGTTCAAAATCATAGGCACGGAGTAAAGCAACCCAGGAATCCATGGTCCGATGGTCCTGAATATATCACACAATGCCCAATTCAACCCGGCGATACGTTTAACTACAAGATCATATTTTCGATGGAGTTCGGGACGCTTTGGTGGCACGCTCATAGCGATTGGTCTAGAGCAACGGTCCATGGCGCTATTGTAGTGTATCCCAAGCATGGCCCATCGTCGTATCCCTTCCCCAGGCCTGATCAAGAAGTGCCCATAATTTTCGGTACGTATATATAGTTTAACACGAACAATTTCTATATATTTCCCGATATATCTCTACGTTAAATGCGTTTTTCGGTGTGTTTAGGCGAATGGTGGAAGGAAGATGTAATGGAAGTATTGAGGGAATTTGTCGAATCAGGTGGGGCACCTAGAAACTCTGATGCGTATACGATCAATGGTCAGCCTGGTGATCTTTACCCGTGCTCGAGTCAAGGTTAGTTTGGTGGTTTCACATACGTGGATAAAAAAAGGTTCGTAGTTCGTTGACGACGCTTGTTATCTATTTCAGGGATGTTCAACTTAAATGTGAAATATGGCAAGAGATATCTTTTGCGTATGGTAAATGCAGCGATGAACGAAATCTTGTTTTTCGCGATCGCTAATCATTCGTTAACCGTTGTCGGAGCTGATGGCAGCTACACCAAGCCATTTACGAACGAATACGTAGTCATCTCCCCTGGCCAAACACTTGATTGCTTGTTAGAAGCGAACCAAGTTCTACCAAGAAGCCACTACTACATGGCAGCCAGACCGTATTCTCCCACCACCAGTATTCCTCTCGATAACACCACCACTACCGGAGTTGTTCGTTACGACAATGATGATGACGATGACATTTCAATGACTATATTTCCGTCCCTACCTTTTTACAACGATACCATCGCTGCTTTCGAATTTCTTGGTGGCCTCAGGAGCTTGAACCCCCCCTTATTCCCGTTAACTTCTTACGATACGCAAATCCTTTCCACCGTTTCCGTAAACACATTCCCGTGTCGTAATAATTCCTGTAGCGGGCCGAACGGTACACGATTTGCGGCTAGTATGAACAACATTAGTTTCGTATTTCCGTCCACAATTGACATACTTGAAGCATACTACTATCACATCAACGGCGTGTTTGGCACACGCTTTCCTAGCGTCCCTCCGTTCATCTACAACTTTACCTCCACCGATTTACCGGCGATCCTACTGACACCCGAGTGGGGAACGGAGGTAAGGGTGATCGAATATAACTCAATCGTACGAGTCGTTTTTCAAGGGACCAACTTGGTCGTGGGACTTGATCATCCTATGCATTTGCACGGATTCAATTTCTATATCCTCGGATGGGGATTTGGTAACTTCGACAAAGACAACGACCCGTTAAACTATAACCTCGTTGATCCTCCATTCCGAAACACCGTTCTCGTTCCGGTAAACGGATGGGCTGCGATTGCGTTCAAGGCTCATAACCCCGGTAAGGTTACATATTTCACGATGCTTGTGTTTATAACCGAATGATTTCAAATTACTCATGAAATGATCTTGGAACAGGAGTATGGTTTCTACACTGTCATTTGGAACGTCACTTGACATGGGGGATGGATACAGTGTTCATCGTGAAGGACGGAAAAAGGATCGAAGAACGCATCCTACCACCACCCAATCACATGCCGCCATGTGTGCTTTAACTAATCGATTAAGACAAGCATTTATGTATCCAAATTACGTTTATTTGGTATGTAAATGCTTTTTCCGATTAACATACTTTGAGGGTTGCTAAAAGACTCCCCAAAAGTTTCACATCTTAGATACAGATTTCTGTGTACGATTTACGGGGTTCGTTTAAAGTGTTTGATATACGGGGTATCGTAGCATACTTGTAAAAGTTCCCTACAAAATAAAATTTTAAGTGAAAATAATGAAGACTTCTCTTTAGATTTCAAATTATCTTCGTGATTTACCTCTGTTAAGAGTTTATCAAGTCACGTTACCTCATCGGATGAATATGGTAAAGACCAAGAATCTTACCTGGAAAGAGTGAGACAAGGACTAAGAGTCTTATCCAGTAAGTGAAGACGACGACTCTTACCAGACCCGTTCCTGACATTTTTTAGGCCCTGGGCGAACGTAAAAGCAGGGCCCATGGCAAGAAACAAGGCTTGTAGCAACGACTTTTGTCGTCGCTAAAAGTCCATTTATCATTAGAAAAAATATATAACAACATGTCGTCGCTATAACTTGTGGCGGAAACATGTCGCTAAAAAGTGAATCGCTATAATTGAGTACAAGAAATGTTAATAATTTAGCGAGGAAAGAAATCTTATTTATAAAGAAATCTTATTTATCTTTATCACACACACACACACACACACACACACACACACATATATATATATATATATATATATATATATAT